AACGGATCAATAATCGCTTAGTCTTGAATAAGGTTGTGCCAGGTTTTTGTTGAAGTTTGGAAATAGACTGTGAATTTTGCCAGACCATAAGGTTTGAGAGGTACATATCACAGATTTGTCCTCTTTTAATTTCTACTGTTGAAAGAATTTTTTAGAAAGTGTATCTTGGATACGCGCATTAGCCGTGCAAGTTTTCTTCTTTTTCATTTCATGCTAATTTGCAATCAATTTTGATTTAAGAAGCTGATCTGCGCAATATTGGCTGTCTCGGTCAAGTTCCCAATGTTTTTAACCCTCAACTGTCCTATCAGTCAATCGAAGACGATCACATCCCATTTATGAACAGAGGTGAGACACCGGAGAAAGATCCTATGTCTGGGAAAAATATATTTAAATGCATATTCCAGGTATACCCATTCTTCACCTGATTTCAGTACCATTTCCACATGTTTGGCATACAGATGCCGATAACGAAAGCGTTCTACATTATCCCACAATATATCATATAACCTCAGTCCTTAGGGTATTTGTAGCGAAATATCTAGGAATAGCACCATTATGATTGGTTTGGATAACTAGGTTAAGATTTGAAGAAATTATTTCCGAGATAACCCTTTATTCCATACTTTCCCTTTTGTATTTTTTTCCTCAGTATTTTAAAAGGCATTGAAAGCAACCTCTTGGTTACGCTCCATTCTTGGGTAAGCAACAACGATTTTTGCTTAGGGATTTACTCTTGCGTATCTCTGAATTTATACGAAAATGGCCATTCAACAATAGCATAATTACGATATCCCCTACTCTTCTGTTATACATATGTCTTCTTGACTTCAAGGCTTTTTTCGACAATTTTTGATGCTTTAGGTAAGAAGCTTATTTAACTAATTGAATTATTCACTTGTTATTTGAAAAATAGATTACTCTGAGCATTCCTTCCTTATTTGAGCGAAGTGTTCGCTGTATAATTTATCTAGTCAATGATGTTTTTCTTCTTATTTTTTTTGCCAAATGCGGGATTGTGATATATGTGATAGTAGCATTTGTCATGTAAGAGGAATGAAGTTTTTCCTACGAGAATCTTCTTCATGGTTTCCTGTTCGATCTAATAATTAGTTGAGCTACTTGTGTGCCAACGTACGTCGAATCGTCTCTTTGTATCAGGTGTACCTGAATC